GGCTTCCAGATTTTGATAAGCCCCCCCGACCGCAGACCCCCACAACCAGCGGCCATGGCTGCATCAACATGGGGACAAGGTGCTTTGGGGGGAGCTCCCCCTGCCCCAAAGCATCCCCCCTATGTTGAGGGCATGTGGCCTGATATGGGTCAGGAGGGGGGGGTGGCGAGCAAGCCTCCCCCTTTCCTGACCTGCCGGGCTGCATGCTCGGATAAGGGTCTGGTATGGATTTTGGAGGGGACCCCCATGTCTTTTTATTTTTAAATTTTGGCATAGGCATTCCCCTCAAAATCCATACCAGACCCAAAGAGCTTGGTATGGATGGGGGGCCCACGCCATTTTTTTGTACATTTTTTTAATTGCCAGCAATTCTTTTTAAGTGAGCACTTAACATCACCGTTACACTTCTGCCAATGACCATCTGGATGATCCAGAGGAGGGATGGGAGAAAGTCATGTGGTCAGATGACACCAAAGTAGAACTTTTTAGTCTAAGCTTCACTCGTCGTGTTTGGAGGAAAAAGAAGGATGAGTTGCATCCCAAGAACACCATCCCTACTGTGAAGCATGGGGTCGGTAACATCATGCTTTGGGGGTGCTTTTCTGCAAAGGGGACAGGATGACTGCACTGCATTAAGGAGAGGATGAATGGGGCCATTTATTGTGAGATTTTCAGCAACAACCTCCTTCCCTCAGTCAGAGCATTGAAGATGGGTCGTGGCTGGGTCTTCCAACATGACAACGACTTGAAGCACACAGCCAGGATAAACCAAGGAGTGGCTCTGGAGTGGCCTAGCCAGTCTCCAGACCTAAATCCAATAGAACATCTTTTGGAGGGAGCTGAAACTCCGTGTTGCTCAGCGACAGCCCCGAAACCTGACAGATCTAGAGGAGATCTGTGTGGAGGAGTCGGCCAAAATCACTGCTGCAGTGCAAACCTGGTCAGGAACTACAGGAAACGTCTGACCTCTGTAATTGCAAACAAAGGATTCTGTACCAAATATTAACACAGATCTTCTCAGGGGTTCAAATACTTCTGTTCAGCAGTGCAAGACAAATACATTCTTTACAAATCATACAATGGGATTTCTTTTTTTTTTTTTAAATTCTGTCTCTCAGAGTGGGAATGCACCTACAATGTGAATTTCAGACCCCTCCATGATTTCTAAGTGGGAGAACTTGCAAAATCGCAGGGTGGTCAAATACTTCTGTTCCTCACTGTATATAGTCTTCCTAGGTAAAAGTGGAACTGCACATAAAAAGGGAAGTTCCTCTTTTCCTCCTCCTTTTACACTTCCCCTACCACTGTTGTGAGTTTATTTTTATTTTTTCTTGGAGCAGCAACATGTTTCTTACAGGTACCTGCTTCATTTCACCTAGGCCTCCAACCAGGGGCGGACTGACCATTTGTGAACTCGGGCACTGCCCGAGGGCCCGGGGTCAGTAGGGGGCCTCATGAGATGCCCCTGGTACCTTGTTCATAGCCTTTTTTGAGTTTGGGCAAGGACACAGTGGCAGAATGAAATGAAAATGAGAAGCGCACCAACCTTGCGCCTTACCTCAGTAACCAAAATTTATTAATTGTAAAAAAAATACTCACAAACAGCGAATGAAATCAGGCATGTAAGTCCTCACAGGGACTTGAAGATAGCGTGAATCCCATCAAGGGAATGGGTGTTCAGTATAGCTGACGCGTTTCGAAGGGAGTCCCTTCTTCATCAGAGCTAACTGAACTAGGAGTGCTCTCTCCTATATATACTCCAGGACTGAAAATAGGCCCTCCCCTCTGGGTTGGGCAGTCTCAGGTTAGTAGGAGGGGCCTTCTATTCGCCACCTGTCTGAGTCCTAGAGCGCAGGAGAATTCGTCAAGGACACAGTGGCCCCATGATCCCCTATTGCCCGGGGGCCCCATGAGTTGTCAATCCGCCCCTGCCTCCAACCAAAAGTTTTCCCCCCCTTTCCCCTGCCCGAAACCTCCTGGAACACGTCACAGGCCTCAGAAGGCTGTGGGTCCATTGAGAAAGTGCAGCACTCCTCCGCACATGCGCAGTGGGAAGCTGGCTGAAAAGCACAGACTATTAAAGGTCAGCAGCTACAGTATTTGCATCCAGAGTCACGTTCCTCTTTAAATGGCGATATTCATCCCAAAAAACTGCGGAAATGTAGGGGACAGCTCTAGATTGCAACCAGCATTGTAACCAGAGCACGTTTTGTTTTTTTTTGTTTTTTTTTTAACTAAAGCTTGGGGGACATAATTGCCCAAACCAAGTTGAATTTTAAAGTTTGAACTTGATGGACGGGTATCTCTATTCAGCCAAGGTCATTGTGGTAATCATATAAAGTGACCTTTCCTAGGAGAGCGTTAGACAACATGTGTTTCTCCCTTTTCTTTTTCTTTTTTTTTTTCCGTTGGTTTTGCTTCTCTAAACCTCATCGAAATCCATTTCCTTTTTCAATTTTTGAAATATCTTTATTGCTTCCAAGAAATCTTCAAACTGCCCTTTCTCTGTGACTAATTCGATCGGAAGAACCTTTACTGTCCCTATCATCAACTGCATCTCAAGATGGCAGTTCAAGCGGTGTGGGTTTCATTAAAAGAGGGGCCGAGGAATATGATGAGACATCGCTACTTCCGCATTCTATTTTCAGCGGTCACGGTTCATAGATAACACAACCAGGTACAGAAGGAGAATGGAAAGTTTTTACTGCAAAACAAAACAAAAAAAAGTTAGCAAAAGTTCTACAAAATAATTTCAACTTTTCACGTTAGAACTGGTAGCTTAGTAGCTGAATTTGAAGAAGTTCTGCAAAGAAAAAAAAAAAGATATTTTTCCCTTTAAGCGCATTTTTATTTTAATCTCACTTGCCCTCCCTGGCCTAATTTACTGTCATTTTTAGTGTTGAATTTCATCGCTGTGTTTATTCAGTGTAATGATACACCGTGGTATCTTTTTTAGGCAAGAGCCTTTTGACAGGAAAAACAAACAAGGCAAAGTCGGGCTTAGCTACATCAAAAAGAAAGCGTGCCTCTATCTAAATGGGGATCATCAGGCGCGTAGCCACCAGAGGCCAGACACAAAGGTTGTTTTACTCCTGCTGCCCATACCTAATCAAATTTTTCATCGCCAATGACAGAGTATGCAAACTTTCATGGTTAAAGTGGAATTCCACCTAAGACATTTTTTTTTTTTTAGTATATGGAAGAACTGTTAAAGTTTTATTGTTGGGGAAAGTCGATACGTAGTGCTGGTGCTCTGGGATTTTGAGTAGAGTAGGCTGCTAGGTAAATGTAGTTGGTTCCACTGTAATCAGAGGAGCAGGGGTTGATTCATTAGGGCTTTCCCTGTCTAGAGGATTCTAGAATCATAGCAGGAGGAAGAGCGGAGCATAGAGCCTGAATATATATGGGACTCCAGCCAATCCCTGGGGAGGTGTGCCCAGTTGGTGGAGAGAGAGCCCATGAGTAGTCTAAGGCCTGAGCAGCAAGGTACAGGGTTCCTGGGTCCAGTCCAACTGGAGGATACCCCTGTGGAGGGGGCCCCTTGGGCATATTTCTATAAGTAGCTGTTATGAAGACACAGAGGTCCCAGCTGGGCTTAGTTGGGGGGCCTGCTTGCTGTTAGGAAGACACCGAGGTCCCAGTTAGGCTTAGCTGGGAGGCCTCTTCGCAAGCTTGAGTCCAGGGATCAAGTTGGGTCTAGAGAAGCTCACTGGAGAGAGACCAGTGGGAAGTTGGTGGCTGTCAGGGACCGCCGCGGCTCCGTCCCCGGTGCATGCGCTCTAGCGGCGGCTCACGCCGGGACACAGGCACCAGGTCCCGGCGGGCCGCAGCTGACAGGAGGCCGCGCATGCGCAGTAGGGACCGCGGGCGCGCGCCTCGGGTGGCCAATGACTGCCCGGGGGCGCGTCCTGGGCGGCCAATGACAGTGCAGGGCACGATATTTAAAGATGCCCTGCACTGTCACAAATCGCCGCAAGGTCTGCTCTGTTACTTGTAGTTCTTGTACCCTGTGATTAAAGACCCGGATTGTTTGACCTTCTGCCTGCTCCAGCCCTGACCCGGATTACCTGACTACGCTGCCTTCTCCTGTGTTTGACCCGGATTGCCCCTGACTACGCTGCCTTCTCCAATCCCGACCCCCGGCTTGTTTGACCATTCTGCAGACTGACTCCGGTAACTGACCCTGCGTGTGACCTGACCACTCTCGGACTGCCGTCTCTGTACCTCGCCATTTCGCACGGTGACCACCGCCGGTTTGTCCTGCCTGGTCCTGCCGGCCTCCTCACATCTGACTCTATCCTGTCTTACTCTCATCCCCGGAGGCTCCCTCTGCCACGGGTGGTATTGCTCGGAGGTCGTGACCTGGTCCTGGTTCTGCTCCAAGTCCATCCCCACCATCAGGGGCCCTGGTGAAAACGCAGATCGGGACTTAGACTCCACGCTCCGGGTGATTCCGCCTAGTGGGCTGCCAGAGGTACCACCTGGCGGATCCGTAACAGTGGGAAAGAGCCCAGTCAGTGGTGTGAATCTACATCTCCCTCATTGGAAGGAGACTGGTGGATACAGCGGCGTATTTTCCGCAAGGCAAACAAGGCGTTTTCCTAAGGCGGCAATTTTCAGGGGGGGGAAGCCCTACCCCCCCCCCCAGAAGAAGGGACACAAGTGGCAGGGAAGAGGACCTAGTTAGCTCCAGCATGAGATCTGAGGAGGATGTGCTCTGCTGGTGGGTGCAGGGATGGCTAGCTGCTTCTTTCATTCCGGATATAGTGAATGCAGGGTCTGGGGATACCCGATATAGTTAATGCAGGGTCCAGGGAAAGCAGATATAGTGAATGCAGGGACCAGGGAGAGCGGATATAGTGAATGCGGGGACCGGGGAGAGCAGATATAGTGAATGCAGGGTCCGGGGAGAGCAGATATAGTGAATGCAGGGTCCGGGGAGACCGGATATAGGGAATGCAGGGTCCGGGGAGAGTGGATATAGGGAATTCATGGCCCTGGGAGACCAGATATAATGAATGCAGGGTCCGGGGAGACCAGATATAGTGAATGCAGGGTTTGGGGAGAGCAGATATAGTGAATGCGGGGTCCGGGGACACCAGATATAGTGAATGCAGGGTTTGGGGAGAGCAGATATAGTGAATGCGGGGTCCGGGGACACCAGATATAGTGAATGCAGGGTCCTGGGAGAGCGGACATAGTGAATGCAGGGTCTGGGGAGAGCGGATATAGTGAATGCGGGGTCCAGGGAGAACAGTTATAGTGAATGCAGGGTCCGGGGAGACCACATATAGTGAATGCAGGGTCCTGGGAGAGCGGACATAGTGAATGTAGGGTTCGGGGAGATTAGATATAGTGAATGCAGGGTCTGGGGAGACCACATATAGTGAATGCAGGGTCCGGGGAGACCGGATATAGTGAATGCAGGGTCCGGGGAGATTAGATATAGTGAATGTAGGGTCCGGGGAGACCAGATATAGTGAATGCAGGATCCTGGGAGAGCAGTAATAGTAAATGCAGGGTCTGGGGAGAGCAGATGTATTGAATGTAGGATCCTGGGAGAACGGTTATAGTGAATGCAGGGTCCGGGGAGACCACCATATAGTGAATGCAGGGTTCGGGGAGAGGGGATATAGTGAATGCAAGGTTCGGGGAGAGCGGATATAGTGAATGCAGGGTTCGGGGAGAGCGGATATAGTGAATGCAGGGTCCGGGGAGAGTGGATATAGTGAATGCTGGGTCCGGGAGAGACCAGATATAGTGAATGCGGGGTCCGGGGAGAGCAGATATAGTGAATGCAGGGTCCGGGGAGAGCGGATATAGTGAATGCACTACGTTTAGTACAGCCCTCTTGTTATCCAAAAACTAGGACAACTTTTCACACAGTTTTAAAATGTAATCTAATAATTCTAACAAGGTTACTCAGAATTAAGTCAGAGTTGAGAATCTTCCCTCAATAAATTGTAGCCGAGTTCCCTTTGAATACCCAGTTATGTGCAGATCAAGTAAACCAGACATTTTCTTTTCATATGATTGGATTAAACAGGAGCTTCAGTCAGTTCTGCAAAACGTATAAGTCATCAGTTACAAAACGTTTAGCTGATGACCTTTAATGAACAGACACTCACCTGTCCAGTCCTTCGCCGGTCTTCGGGCTCCCGGCACCGACATATTAACTGTGGGCAGCCGGCTGTGACTCCTGGCGGCTTCCCACTGTGTGAGCTTTGTGAATAGTCCTGCAGCCTTCTGGGACTTGTGATGTGCCTCAGAAGGTTGCAGGCAGGAAAGGACGGAGGGTGGGGGTGGAGAACCTTTGGTGAAATCGCCGTGGTGTTCAGAATGAAAGGGGTAGCAGGTACCTGTCAAAACCAGGTATCCGGCCCCCCCCCCCGGAGGAGGCAGAAGAATGGAACTTCCTGTTTTGGGTGAAGTTCCGCTTTAAAAGAATATTAACTCAGTTTATTAAAGTATATGTGAACTCATATGGAAAACAACCCATTCAGTTTAAAATAGAAATTAAAAGAGAAACATTTATGTATAGATATAAAAAAAAAACATTATAAATACCCCTTTTCTCCCTTTTTTAAAGGTGATCACATTCCCTCTGTTCTGCACAGAGAGACGGCGGAGAAACAGCAGTACACTGATCTTCCCAGTGAATGACTGTGGGAGGGGAGTATGTCAGGACTAGTCTGGTCATTGGAGAAGAGCAGGCTGGGTTCCCAGCACAGCTAGATAACTGACTACGCTGTGTTCTCTTGCCTTGTGTGGTCAGTTTTTAAATAGGTAAGCAGAGGGACTGGCAGGAACACCAGGGATTTCACAGAAAGGAAGCAATACAAAGGGAACAGGACACTTTTTCATACAAGTACATGATACAACAGGAACATATCAGGAAATGTTGGGTTTACAAATTCTTTAAGTGAAGGTTCCTAACTCCCTTAGTAAAGCAACCTTAGGATCTTGGAATTCTGACTAAAAAATGAAATGAACTAAAAATTCCAACAAATCAGAATTTCCAATAAAATTATTATCATACAAGATTTATATTTTATTATTATATATCGTCAACAGTTTGCAGAGCGATTTTAAACATAAAGAAAGATGGTACAATTGCAATAGAATTCAAGACAGGAAAGTTAGAAGGGCCCTGGTCATGAGTGCTTACAATCTAATAGGAAGTGATGTTGGTAGTAAATGTGGGGGGATGAGTTGATGGAGAAGATAAACGTTCAATATTTAGGTAGAGGCAGGACAGGCTCAACTCAAGAAATGCGTTTTCAAGGATCACCTGAAGGTGGACAGAGTTGGAGATAGTCAAACAGATTGGGGAAGAGAGCTCCAGAGGAAGGAAAAAACTCTGGAGAAGTCTTGGAAGCAAGTATGGAAAGAAGAGACAAGGGCGAACATGAAGTCTTGGGTCTTGAGGGTGACTTGGTTGATATTTTGAAACGAGGTTGGTGACGTAGTTGAGGGCAGAGTTGTGGACGGCTTTGCATGTGGCTACTATTATTGTGAATTTTATTTGTTAGGCAAATGGAGGCCAGTGGTGGGATTGGCAGAGAGGGGCAGTGGACACTGAACGGTTAGTAGGGTGGACGAGTCTGGCAGCAGTTATGATAGACTGAACAGGGGAGGTACATCAAAAGGAAAGAACTGCATGGGGCGGACTGACCATTTGGAAACTCGGGCACTGCCCGAGGGCCCAGGGTCAGTAGGGGGCCCCATGAGATGCCCCTGGTACCTTTTTTATAGGCTATTTTGAGTTTGGGCAAGGACACAGGTGCCCCATGATCCCCTATTGCCCGGGGGCCCCATGAGTTGTCAGTCCGCCCCTGGAGCTGCAATAGTTTGGTTGACTCGCTGGTTGGGAAGGGGCACATTTTGGAAAAGTTATGGAGCTGAAGAAGACAAAATTTGGATTGTGATTGGATGAGGTTCCTGGAGGAGAAGTCAGAGTCCACGATTACATCTAGCACCTTGGCATGAGCAGAGGAACAGAGAGCTGTGCTATTGATCGTGGTGGGAATTATGTAAGAATTCTAACAAAATTATTTAAATATCTGATATATTTTCTAAAAATGTTAATTATTTAATTCACAATTCTGATATTTTATCTAAGAATTCTGACAACTTAACTCACAATTCTGATATCCTGATGTTGATTTACTAAAGCAATTGAGAATTTAACGTTTTTGAATATTTCTTTTATTTAGCCAATTATGTAAGAAGCAAACTCCAGATCACTTTGAACATCAAATATGTACAGCTGCATAATAAAGTGAATATTCACACAATTTTTTAATTGTGTGAAAATTGTCAACTTTTGGAAATTGTCATCATCAAAGGATTCTGACTGTGTAACTCAGAATTCTGACAGATTGTATAAGAACTTTGATGATTTGTTTGACAAAATCTGATATGTTGGTTGATATACTGAAGGAAAATTGGCTGTTCACTTCACAAGGGAACTTGCCCCAGAACTTGAATGTGGTGAAGTTTCACTTTGCAGAAAAAAAAAAAAAGAAAAAAAAGTGCATGAAAAAACTGAATTTTTGCTTGCATGATTGGATGATAGAAGTCAACAGACCTTCGACTCATTCACTAAGCTCCCCAGCAAATTCCCTTGCAAAGTGAACAGTTTATTTGCTTTTAGCAAATCAACCCCGTCTCAGAACTTTTGAGTGTTTCATTTTTTTAAATTTTTATTCTTTTTTAAAAAATTTTTGCATCCAGCCCCAGGGATTTTCCATTAGGAACCAGTCAGCACTAAGATGGACTAAGTCGATCCGCAATCCTACTCAGACCTTCAACTCATTCACTAAGCTCTCTAGCAAATTCTCTTGCAAAGTGAACAGTTTATTTGCCTTTAGTAAATCAACCCCATCTCAGAATTTTTGAATTTTTCATTTATTTATTTTTTTTATTTTTTTTTGCATCCAGCCCCAGGGGTTTTCCATTAGGAACCAGTCACCATCAAAATGGAAAGAAAAACACCAGGTATAGTTTTCCCCAGTCCTGATCTATTTCCTAGCCCACGTCCGTACACGTCCAATCTTTCCATCTTCATTTGTCTCATAAACCATCTGATGATTGAGGCATCAATGCCCCAATATCTTTGAGAGCTCTGAATTCAATCCTACCTCCTACTGGGAACTTTCTGCTCGGGAAACCATGAGAGTATATCCTGTTATCCATTTTGCATTTCGTTTATCAGCTTCTGCGGTAGGTATAAGTAATGCTTAGCCTCTTTTTTTTTTCCACCAGTCTTGCTCAGTCCTTCAACTCATTCACTTACCTCTCTAGCAAATTTCCTTTCAAAGTGAACAGTTTATTTGTCTTTAGTAAATCAACCCCATCTCAGAATTTTTGAACTTTTCATTTATTTTTAGGTTTTTTTCATTTTTTATTTATTTTTTGCATTCAGCCCCAACATCTTTGAGAGGTCTGAATTCAATCCTACCTCCTACTGGCAACTTTCTGCTCGGGAAACCATGAGAGTATATCCTGTTATCCATTTTGCATTTCATTTATCAGCTTCTGTGGTAGGTAGAAGTAATACTTAGCCTCTTATTTTTTCCACCAAGTCCTCCTCAGACCTTCAACTCATTCACTTACCTCTCTAGCAAATTCTCTTGCAGAGCGAACAGTTTATTTGCCTTTAGTAAATCAACCCCATCTCAGAATTTTTGAATTTTTCATTTATTTATTTATTATTATTTTTTTGCATTCAGCCCCAGGGGTTTCCATTAGGAACCCGTCACCATCAAAATGGAAAGAAAAACACCAGGTATAGTTTTCCCCAGTCCTGATCTATTTCCTAGCCCACGTCCGTATACGTCCAATCTTTCCATCTTCATTTGTCTCATAAACCATCTGATGATTGAGGCATCAATGCCCCAACGTCTTTGAGAGGTCTGAATTCAATCCTACCTCCTACTGGGAACTTTCTGCTCGGGAAACCATGAGAGTATATCCTGTTATCCATTTTGCATTTCATTTATCAGCTTCTGCGGTAGGTAGAAGTAATACTTAGCCTCTTATTTTTTTCCACCAGTCCTGCTCAGACCTTCAACTCATTCACTTACCTCTCTAGCAAATTCTCTTGCAAAGCAAACAGTTTATTTGCCTTTAGTAAATCATCCCCATCTCACAATTTTTTTTATTTTTGCATTCATCCCCAGGGGTTTTCCATTAGGAACCAGTCACCATCAAGATGTAAAGAAATACACTAGGTCTGGCTTTCCCCAGTCCTGATCTATTTCCTAGCCCACGTCCGTATACGTCCAATCTTTCCATCTTCATTTATGTCATAAACCATCTGATGATCTTTCTGCTCGGGAAACCATGATAGTATATCCTGTTGTCTATTTTGCATTTCGTTTATCAACTTCTGCGGTAGGTAGAAGTAATGCTTAGCCTCTTTTTTTTCAACCAGTCCTGCTCAGACCTTCAACTCATTCACTAAGCTCTCTATCAAATTCTCTTGCAAAGTGAACAGTCTATTTGCCTTTATTAAATCAACCCCATCTCAGAATTTTTCATTATTTTTTTTTTGCATTCAGCCCCAGGGGTTTTCCATTAGAAACCAGTCACCATCAAAATCATCTGATGATTGAGGCAT